TCTTATTCATCAATTTTTTCAAACAAATTAATTTTTCTAACAAACGTGCAAACAAAGTCGAAAGGAAAAGTCGAACTAAGACTGAGTGAAATACGTAAAAGCTAGTAGTACTTTGTGAAAATATATTTTGTCGAGACCTTTTGCCGCTGGTTGTTTTTTACAGAAAAAAAAGTGGTTGACTCATACATGTCGGAAACTTATTAATTTAAGAGATATTCTAACTTTAATTTTTAATATCTATCTCATAAAAAAATAAGGACGATATCAATACGAAAATATCGATCCTGTCAAACAATTAAAGTCAAAATATCTCTTTCATTAATAATTCACACACGTACGCAGGCACATAAATTTTTTACAATGCATTACAAAATACACTTAAATCCATTTAAAAAAATAAAGTTAACTTTACATGATTTCTACACGTCTATTTACAAGATTTAGATTGTTTCCCATGTTGTTCAATTTCACAAACTGACTGTACAAAGAAATTACAATTATAAATATTATTCTTAAAACTTTGCCTTAAAATTCACGATTATTTATACTGTTTTCCTATAATGGACAAATTCGTGAAAATACTATTGTCTGTCTCAATTTCTATTATTATCTATCATTGTCTATCTCTGTTTTAAAGATATGAAAATAACTTCGTTTTTTTTAACGTAAATTCACCGAATGGTCCATAATATGGCAATAATGATTGTTTTGTAGATGGAAGGGTTTCAGAGATATCAATATGACTTTTTAAAATAAAGACACATATTTTTTAATATTTTGCCACGCACGCAGAAGCTTTTGTCTTAGAAATGCTATGCATGCCGATAATCACTTCTTAATCTTAAGAATAAGAATACAATAACCGAATAACGTTACAGTTTTTGTAGAGATAGATACGTATACTTATTGGAAAGCGGCAATAAACTTAGTGACATTATTCCGACAAATTAAAAAAAAGATCACAAGTGAGAGTGAAGGAAGTGATAGCGGATATAGTAATATTGTTTTGTCAAAAGAACAGTTTGCTATCTGATGAGAAGAAGGAAAAAAATTACGAAGCGTACAATTTGGTCACGCGTATCTGCGGAATAATAGCTAACGCAAAGGATTACTGCACTGATCAATGCAAATTCCTCTCGACATTCTTTATAAAAAAAAAAAAAAAATATTAACTCATATATGTCGAAAATTATTAGATTTGAAAATATTTGAAACTTAATTCCAATAACGTTCAATCTCGATTAAATTTTTTATTATTTAAGTATCAACGCACTATCTACGTTTAATTTGTTCATAATGTATAGTTTGTCCTGATTTCTGACGTATTTCCTTACCGAATTACAAGATTTTCGTTCTTGTTTTTTGTGCAACACCGTTCTCGATATAACAATTTTCTCTTTATGACAAATTTAATCTTATAAATCAGTGTGACGGTAATCGAATTTAACAACAAAATTAATGAATCTAAAATGTGCATTACCCAACTACTTATAATTTCTGTCTCTGTTTCCAATTGTTTCGTTCTCAATTCTTTGTTTTTATTCTAATTCCGTATTATTCTTCTATTCTTAAGGGCATATTCTGTGAGTAAGTAAATAAATGAATGAACGAATGAATGAATTAATTTTGTAAAATCTCGTAAAAGACAAGGAAAGATAAATGTCGTCTAGAATTCATATTGTCCTTGTGTTTCATGCAATAAGTTTTATAAAATTAAAAATAAAGTATCTGCTAAACTAATACTTTATATATATACTTATGTAGTATCGGTTATTATAACTAGGCGTAGATAATTATAATTTTAGTTATGTTTAATTATATGCCAGATGGCCTGTTTATTGATCATAATGTAGGCAATAATTTTACAATGTAATTATCGTTTATAACAAAGCGTGTATTTTCTTGCTAAGCTGAAGACTGGCTCGGACGTGCGATCTCGGCAACGTTTTGCAGACGGAATGTCGCCTGGTTTTGTGCTCTAGTTCGGGTACCCTACTCCTCGGTCCAACCCTCGTCCGGATACCCTAGCTCGGTTTATATGCCTCGGTTATAAACATCAGACCTCGGAATCGGCCCATGGTCCTTGATCTCGAATGGCCTCTTCTACGAAATAGGCGAGGAAGTCTTCCCACGCCTAGGAACGGGCGGCCTGGTTGACGTTCACTCACAAACGAAAACCAGTTTTAGAACAAAATTAGAAATTTCATTAATCAAAAAAAAAAAAAAAAAAAAAAAA